GTACGTTTAAATTCAAATGCAGTACCTACTGAGTAGTAGGCGGTTTCGGACGCAGCCTATGTGTGTATGGATGTTTTCTAGTGATGGGTTGCAGCTGGAAGGGCATCCACTGTGTAAAACATATGCTGGATAAGTTGGCGGTTCATTCCACTGTGGCGAGCCCGGATTAATAAAGGGACTAAGCCGAAAAGAAAATGAATGAATGAATGAATGAATGAATGAATGAATGAATGAATGAATGAATATGACAGTGGACACATTATACCTACACACAGTTCTGTCTAAACAGCTTACAAAAGTTGATTTCCAACATAGGTGCCCTTTAAAAAACACACTTTCTAGAAGAGATGATCTTTGAGACATGTGTCTATCACAGCCTGCGCACACACATATTCCCCAGAGCTTCCAGAGAAAGCATTAATTCCAAACAATTTATTATCTACATAATTACACACAGGTTCAGCTTGATCATCCCGGAGTACTTCATCGCTAAACCGCGCACGTATCCAGCGCTGGGCGGATAACCGCGGCTCACGCTAGCAGTGGCTCCTTTACACATTAAAGCAGTCTTCATTTCAAAGAGCTACTTAATTATTTCACGTGACAAGGGGGGTATTAAAATCATAAGTCCATCAATTATGGATTTGATCATTTGCGGGCGAGGTTAACTATGCAGTGATGTGTGCAGAGTGAGTGGCTTTTAAAAAAGGAAACCGGGTTCAATTGAACGGCTCACTGTTGAGAGTAATGAACACCGACAAGTGTAATGTTCAATGACTGCTAACAACGGGATTTAACAATACTTACTTAATGCTTATTTTCTTCAGAGACAACTGATGTTATTATACAAAGCACAGTGTATACATTAAGACATGTATATTCAAGGAACTCTCCAACACTCCTCTTTTTTATTAAGGCTGACTTTATAATTCCCATAGAGTTAAACAGCTGAGTTTTACCATTTCAGCTGATCTCCAGGGCCCGGTTTTTCAAAAGTAATCCACTAGGATTTTGGATAAGGGATTGGATCAAATCTTGAAAATGGGTTTTTCAAATGAAAAAACGGATTAAGTAATCGGATTAGATCACGTAATCCAATCTTGGTTTTGATCCGGATCAAACCTTTAGTTGGGGTTTTTCAGACCTTTTTTGTAGGATCTGGATCACTTTGATCCAAAAACCCTGGATTAAACTGATCCCATCAGAAGGGTGGATTTAGCGTGGATTTCATGCCTGAAATGTAATGAAAACTTAAAAAATGTATTAAATAATACTATTTTTGGATCATGCAGTATCTTACGAGATATACTATTTATTCATAAGGTTTTAATTTTTTTTGTTCATCTGTCAGGCTATAGTGAGTATAGGCTTTAACGTATTCAGCCTTTCAGTATAGGCCTACAGCAAAGTAGAAAGAGTTTGGCCTCATAAAATAATCCCCCAAACAGCTGTCAAAACTGACCAAAAACAATCAATTTTATTCTGTCACTAATTGATATATATATTCATCACAATGGAAAATATTTTTCTTTTTAGAATATTTATTAGTGATGCATGCAATGATTGCAGAATAACAAAAGAAAATTGCAAAGAATGGCAATCGCTGATTTTTTAAATCACTATCAACAATTGCAAAAAGAGACTTAAAGGGCAGAAGCACAGCTTCATCTGGCAGAGAAACAAACGACTCTGACCAAACTGCAGCAAACCAAGGCCAATGACTTGAGATTCACCTCCTATAGGCTACGCTCAGACAAGCTGCTCTCTCCACATCAGATGAGGAAGTCTAAAATTATTGTGGAGTTTTTGACATTCAGTCTTTTTTTATTTACATCTATATTTTAAACTTATTATAAATATCCTCAATGTACAGTGTTATAGGTCTCAGATGAGCGGACTGCTGGAGGAGGATGGGGTGGGGTTTTTCTTGTTTTTATTATTTATTATTATTATTATTTTAATAATTATTAAATTTTCTTTAGTTTTCATTTAAAATAAAAATAAAGTTATATGGGCCCCACGCTGGCTATACTACTTGTTGCTCTTTACATATCTATAGTTCTACATTTTGATGTCCTATCCTGTTTGAGCATTGATTATCCAGATTTAGTGATCCTGAAAAGTTCCTATCCGGATCAGATTGATCCAATCCGATGTTGCTTTGAAAAACTGGCTCAAAAAGTATGCTGGATTACCTGATCACGGATCGCAAAAACAGGATTACTAAATCTGGATCAATTTTATCCAGATTAAACTTTTTGAAAAACCGGGCCCTGGTGCTTTACTTTTGTAAACCGGGCCCTGGGTTTTTCAAAAGAAAAAACGGATTACATAATTGGATTAGATCATGTAATTTAAACAATGAAAACTTGCTCCCTATATTGTTTATTATGCTATTGTGAATATTGGGTCTGAAATCGCATACTGTATGACTTTAAAACAACATTAGCACTATATATTTGACTGTGAACACTGCTGTCATTTGATAGTTACTGGTTGCTAATGTGATTTTCCTGTTTATAAAAGAATACCTTTCTGAAACTGTATATTAGTATGGAAAAAGTCTGAATGTGCTAGTATAAAACCAACTTTACCTCAGTTTATCCTCCTCACAGTCTCCACGCTTTAGTCTGCAGTGCTGGACAGCCCAGAGGTCATGAACGTTTCGTCAGTAAAGCAGTAATCCAGCTCTGTCAGGGTATTACCGATGGGCGTTTGAGCAGATTGTCCAGCCATGGCAGGGATAATGACACAGAATTTGCCAGGGTCAGTTTGCGCTGCCATTCCTTCCTCCACTTCGCAAAGGTCAGCCATTTCATCGAGCTCCCGACACCTTCTTTCCACCCCCATTGGAGGAAATTTTCCCTCCGTCTAATCTATGAGTCAACTGACATAATGGCCACTTCATAAAGCTCCACTTTACTGTTTGATAACATCACATCTTACCACATCTCTCTCTCTCTCTCTCTCTCTCTCTCTCTCTCTCTCTCTTTCTCTCTCTCTCTCTCTCTCTCTCTAGAGGTGTTTTATGATCATCCAGGATAAATCTGCGCAGATTATAGAGGCTAACCCGGTTATTTGTTGTTTTTGAGCTCGGCTTTTTTCATAAACACTGATGATGGAGACTAGATTCAGCTATGTTTAAAGACCGAACAGAATCTGACATTAAATCGTACATTTACTGTACTTTATATCCAGTTTTGAGGTGAAAATTTAATAGTGCTTCTACACTATTGTTGAAGAAAATCAAAACTTTCATTCATTCATTAATTTTCCTTCAGCTTAGTCGCTTTATTCATCAGGGGAACTATTCTGGCATATGTTTTACACAGCGGATACCCTTCCAGCTGCAACTCAGGACTGGGAAACACCCATACACTCTCACATTCACACACATACATTTATTCATTTATTCATTTTCTTTTTGGCTTAGTCGCCTTATTAATCAGGGGTCGCCACAGCAGAATGAACCACCAACTTATCCAGCATATATGCAGCGAATGCCCTTTCAGCTGCAACCTAGTGCTTGGGAACACCCATACAGTCTCATTAACACACTCATACACTACAGACAATTTAGCTTACCCAATTCACCTACTGCATGTGTTTGGACTGTGGGGGAAACTGGAGCACACAGAGGGAACCCATGCGTACACTGGGAAAGCATGCAAACTCCCCACAGAAATGCCAACTGGCCAAGCCAGGGCTTGAACCAGCGACCTTCTTACTGTGAGGCTATCATACTATCCACTGCGCCACCATGATGCCCATTATTTATGTATTTTGACTAATTTGACTAAATTTGTACTAATTTGAATGAACTATTATGATTAGAAATGTGCTGAAAAAATCTTCTCTGTTCTCTCCATTAAACAGAAATTAGGGGGAAAATAAACAAGGGGAGTAATAATTCAGGGGGTTTAATAATTCTGACATCGAACTGTATATATTTATATAATTGTAGTTAAATCCTATTTGGTCATATTTTAAATTATAATAGCCTATTAAAGCACTGTTAAAATAGGTTATGGCAACATATGCATTTTTATTACTTCAGTACACTGTATATATCAGTATAGATTCAACTTGATTAATGATTAAATAAACAACACAGTTAATTTGAATCCATACCTTAAAATGTAAGATTTTTCTTTTACAGAGAATTAATAGATTAGATTATTTTTCTAAAACAAATTAATGTTTCCTACAGATTTGTTTTGTCATTCGGAATAAGTGAAACTCCAGCCAGTACAAAGTCTAGAAGGGATACAGCTGTGGCTACTCACATCAATATAGTGGATCTTTTGTCACTCTGTACAACAATATTTTACATTACTGTGAGGGTTGGGATGGGGTAGACGTTTCTAAAATACTATTTAATTAGAAATTTTATAAATAATATAAATATTTCTTGTTATAATCACTGTTTTTACATTACTGTGTAATTTGGGTTAAAAGTAGACGTCAATAAAATACAATTTAATGGGTAATTTAATAAATAATAGAAATATTTCTCGTTACAATTGCTGTTTTGCATTACTGTGAGGGTTGGGTTTATGGTTTGGGTAGGGGTAGACTTAAAAAAAAACCTTAATAGGCAATTTAATAAATAATATAAATATTTCTCTTTACAATTGCTGTTTTTACATTAGGATTAGGTTTAGGTTAGGGGGTAGACGTTACCAAAATACAATGTAATGAGTAATTTAATAAATTATATGAATATTTCTCGTTACAATTGCTGTTTTTACATTGATGTGAGCGTTGGGTTTATGGTTTGGGTAGGGGTAGACATTAAAAAATACATTAATGGGCGATTTAATAAACAATATAAATATCGTTCACGCTGCAGCTGTATCCCTTCTAGCAACAACCAGTAGAAACGGTGTTGCAAAAAATCAGCTTGGAGGCAAATCCGCTGCTGCCGCGGTGAGAAAAACAACGCACTCTGTTCTCCAATGGTGTAAGCGAGCGGAAGCACGTGGGTAAACAGGAAGCAGTTTTTGGCATTTGGCGGGTTGAGGGCGAAGACGTGCAAAAATGGCGGGTGAGTGTGAAAGCGTTTTATAACAGCGGCCGTGTTTTATTACCGCTGCTATCATGAAGCATGTGTGTTTATATGACTGTAGAGCTCGTGGGGTGCAGTGTGCTGATGACTGGAAGCGGACAGAATATAGAAACAGAGTATTAGCCGCGGCTAAATGCTAATCACCACAGAGGAAAGCAACACATGTTTGTTTACATTGTTCGCTTTTGATGGCGGATATACGCACATACCAACACACTAACGTTATATCACACAGATAAATCATTGCATATTGGGATGAACATGTAGGTGTTAGTTAACTGTGTAGTGTGCAGGTGTGTAATGCAGTTTCCAAGTAACCTGTCAGTATAACGTGCAGCATCTATCTATCTATCTATCTATCTATCTATCTATCTATCTATCTATCTATCTATCTATCTATCTATCTATCTATCTATCTGTGTCTGTCTGTCTTTATATTCATAATATATTAATGTTGCCAATGCATAAATTAAATATAATGTTTTTTATTGATTGCACATGTCTGCAATACGTATATTACGTATAACGTTACTATTATCATGAAAACGGTAATCGTGCGATATATCGCGCCGCTGTAATGTAAATATATAATCTAACAGTCCTGCGCATTGAGTAAAATTTGGTTTTATATTCACACCTTTGGCATTAATGAAACGTGACAACACGTGAAAAGGTCTCTATATTGCCCTATACACTACTTTGAATGATAGAGGTAAAGTCGGTTTTATATTCGCACATTCGTTCATTTAGTCTCCATTATGTTTTCCATGTTACTTTGAATATTCGATCGGAATTAGCATGCAAGTATGACTTCTAAACAACATTAACACTATCTAATTCACTGTGAACAACGTTGTACTTTGATAGTCATTTGCTGCTTATATGATTTCCCTATTTAGAATTTGCAAAGAATACTTTTCTGAAATTATATTATTAAGGAGAATGTCTGAATATCCGAATATAAAACCAACTTTACCTCTATCTTTGATTGTTCGGTCTGAAGTAAGTTCAAAACAGGGTTGTGCTTTGATATTCATTGTCTGCTAATATGATTTCCCTTTTTGCTATTGGCATTTAATACTTTTCTGAAATTATATTAAGAAGGTGAACGTCAGAATGTGCGATTTATAAAACCAACTTTACCCCAATGACCTGCAAATGCTTCAATTTAGCATTGTCATTAGGAATTAAACTGCATCAATATTTTATGGTACAAATATTTGTATAAATTTATAAATGTATTGGGAGAATTGCAGTGCAGCCGCAACCACATTGTTGTGTCATAATGCGGTGGGTTTAGGTCATAAATAAAAATGTGTAGCTGATGATGACAGAAATTAGATGTTTTCTTGTGCACTTATGATTGACATGCTTTTTTTTCTTCACTACAGCTGTGAATGACATGGAGAAGAAGCTTGCGGAGTATAAATGCGACACCAATGAAGCGATATGTCTAAAATTGGGTAAATCATTAGTCTTTCCAACATTATACAACAATACAATGTCTTATGGTGCGTTCACACCAAACGCGGCACGTGCTGATAAATCGCAATATTCGCGTGTAAATAGACGCATGAACATTTTGAGTTCACTTGCTTCATTTGTGCGTCAAATTCACTTCACAATAGATGTGGATTCGCATCATGGGCAGGGCTTTTGTCTGCCTGGTGACTCTAAGTTCGTTGCAAAATAGCTAACATGGATTTTATTGAGAGAATAGCTGTGTTTATGTGCTTTAGGAAGGCTGATAAACAGTGTTGATTTGTTTCTAGCCGTGCCTGAGTCCACTAGATCCTTTCAGAGGTGCACCCAGCTCTGTGAGTTCATCAACTCCTCCAGAAACTTTACCTGGATGATGGAGGCTTTCAGCAGTGATTCTGATTGAGCCGAGCCCAGCTTGATGAACTCTTGTCTGGTATTGGCTAGAGGATTTCCTCTCAGCACACCAACAACAGGCGCTACATCATAATCACACCCCTACAAGAGAAAGCTCCTGATTTGTTAAGGTGGAGCGAATGTCCGCGGAATTTCAGATTTTTCAACTCAAGCAATACGTTATCGCACAAGATTCTTAACTTGCACCACTTCATTCGTACGAATTACATTGTTCGCGCCGCCTCATTCGCGCCGCACTGTGTCTATTCGCATCTTTGCATTGACGCTTAATGCCTAGTTCACACTAGAGGATTTAGATCATGTAGTGTGTGACCCCACTCTTGTGGATCATTCACAGAGTGTTGCGTAGTGTGAACACCACAGAGATTAAAAGACACAAAGTCAAGTCATGTAGTGTGAACGGCACAGCGATCTGCTGATGTTTAAAATCCTGTAGTGTGATCTAGGCTTAACTTGCATCTGGTTGTGAACGCAGCATTAAAGGTGTAGTATGTAAGATTGACACCCAATGGTTAAACTAGGTATTGCAGCTCATATTCGAAACACCTTTTCATCCAGCCTCTTCTTCGGCAACTTGATGCAAACGCAGATTGCCAGATTGACAACACAAGCAAGCATACCTATTGAGCCTACACCGTAACTAGTAACTACACTTGATGAAAAGAATATTTTCCATGTTAAAGAAGTTTTTGTACATTCCATCACCTGAAATTTCTAGTTTAGAAATGGTTTCTAATTCTCGCAGCTGAACAACAGCATAAACTACCAAAGATCACCTCAGGTACTGATTACATGCTTTATTCAGTGTTAAATGCTGCCAATGTGAGGCTGAATATCATTTTACATGACATTTATTGCCATACTGAAAGCAGCAGATAGTTTACCTCAGAACCTAAAAAATAATATGCATATATAAAAATGAATGTTAGAAATTGATGCAGCCTTAAAAAATTAAAATGAAATATACTGAGTTTTCCATCTAGGCAACTCGCGGTGCTGAAATATAATTGGATAAACTGGCAGTGGGTTGGTTATAGAGACTAAAACAAATACAGATATTATGGCACAACACACATTTTCAAAGGAGAATATCTGACTTTTTAGCATTGTATTTCAAATAAATAAGTACATTCACTTGGCATATTTCTTATATTATGGCTTAAATATTATTTAAAAATAATCTTAAATATTATATTTATGCTTTAGAAGAGTCAAACCCTTGCATACAGCACCTTTAATGTTTCATTTATCATTTTTATTCCAAATGCTCCCTTTCTTTTCTGATCTTGTGTCTTTGGGTGTGATTGAATAAGGTTAACTAATAATAGCTGATAAGATATTTTCCCAGTTGTTAAAATATTTTTTTTTCTGTGCATGTGCTATAGTGAGGTTCCCGGAGGATATAGATGATGAAAGCACAACATTTCACCCGGAGTTCAGTCATCAGCTGTTTGGAGATGAGTATGTATCAGAATTTCATGAGTGTGAAATTCAGTTTTCCCCTTATAATATAATGTGTCCTTTTTTATTATAATTACTATGATTTTGGCTATTTGTTCTCTTTTTTTGTTTGTTTTCACGGCAAAAAAATATAATTTCTGTTTTGAAATCCATCACAAGCCATCACAAAACATTTTTTTTAGGCTGCATAATAATTTTTAATACTTTATTTATTTATAGATTTACACAAATATTTGTTTTAATAGTAATGCGGGTAAGTTCAAAAACTGGTATCTCGTCTTTGACCGATTTATGTATGCTTTTACTGTAATGTGATCATTGTGTTTTTCCCTCGCAGTCCCAATTCCTATTCAGTGTCTTTTTTTATTTGCACAGTGAAGTGGCGTTTGGCTACAAGGGTCTTCAGATCCAGCTTTACCAGAGCGCAGGAAACCTCAACACCCTGTTCAAAGTCAAGTACACTGCCAGGGTCACAGACAAGTTTGACTGCGTTGAGGTACAGTTTCTACTTGCTTATTTCATGCTGTATACATCAATATCTCTGACTGACTGTGTGGTTATGCATGGCTTTTACAGTAATGCAATAGTGAATAATCATAAAGCATCTCATTGCAAACTACAAACCCAAACCAGAAAATGTTGGGACAGTGTGGAGAATGCTAATAAAAAAGAAAGTAGTGATTTCTAAATTTGCTTTGACTTGTATTTCATTGCTGACAATACAGCAAACATTAATGTGTTCCTCATGTTTTTTTTATAGCTTTTTATTTTTTTTATAAACACTTTTTCCAATGTTGGTTCTTACAACTTATTTAAAGAGTGGACCCCAAGAAATGCATTTTTTTGGGTAAAAATCATACAAACATCATACTTTATATTTGCTTTGTTGTATTGGAGGTTTAGGCTTGTTCTCTGTGGCTCTTCAGAGAAATGTGCTACAGCTGTCAAACCGGGAGTGCTCGTGCTCTCGCTGAAGTACACAAGTATGCAACCAGCCAAGCAAAAGGTGAAACTGCCATTTACATGGACGCCTAACGAATATCTCATTAAACGAAAAGCACTCTTCAGATTTTTTATTTTTTATTTTTTTACAGTATCGGGGCAGTATTCTTTAGTTTTCAGCTTCAGTTTTAGCAGTGCTTTTGTTTGCACTCTCATTGTTTATGTTGATGATGTGATCGTGTTAAGCTCAGTTTGTCAGTTGCCTTTATTTATGGGATATTAGTCCCATTTATAGAGAGCAGATGACAGCTGCACTCTGGGTAAATAATAAATTAATTTCAAGAGTTCACACTTAGCTGATGATTGATTATAAAGCTGGTTCAGCATGCTGTCCTGGGAGAGAGCCCTGAGCTCATAAGATCCTGGAGCCTGAGGCTCCCTCCCGTTTGCAGGGCGAGAGGGGAGTTTGAGATTGCGAGAACTCTCCTGCTGTAGTAGCTAATGACCAGATAGTGATTGCTCTTAAGAGATATCTATTTACTAGGAGCATGTCTATGGTGCTGATTTGGACTAGTCAGTTAACTTAGGTTGCATCTTTTTGGACGGTGGGAGGAAACCGGGGAACCTGGGGGAAACCCACATGACCACGGGGAGAACGTGTAAACTCCGCACAGAAACTTCAGCTGGCTTGGTAAGGACTAGAAGCAGTGACGTTCTTGCTGTAAGGCAACAGTGCTCACCATTTAAATGTGTTACCAAAAACACGGACCTATATTATAGCTCATTCTTATATCTATATAATTTAAACAAGCCCCAAATCCTCATGTTTGCCATTGAATCAGACAGTTGTAGTTTGATCAGATCAGACCTGAGGTCTTTTATTAATATTACAGCTAATTACATGCTGTGCATTGACACGGCTTCTGAATATCCTCCACCTTGAAGCCTAGCATGCAATTATAGTCGCTAAACACACTTGAGGTGTTTTTTTGTCTGAGGACAGTTGGTTTTATAACGTCTTTTCTTTTAGCGTTGCTCATATTAGGTTCTTTTTTTTCCTCGTAGATGAAGACGTCTTTGATTAGGAGGTTTACTGTAATTGGATTCAATGCTGTTGTTGAACCCCATCGTGTAAAGAAGACACATTCTCAGAATGAACCTGAAGAGTCTTAAGCGCCGTTAGTTAATACAGGGACGCTACAATGCCGCGCTTTTATTCGCACGATTGAGCAATTTGCACTGAGAAACTTGTCTATTTTTACCATTTTTCGGTCCGCTCCGTTCTTGTCGTCGTCCCATAATGCAGCGGGACAATAGTGAGTGTTACTGAGCTGCAGGTGCACCGATCCCCTTCTGATATTAGCTGATGTCTGAATGAGCAGGAATTAGCGGCGTGTTGCATTAGCCTTTTGTCGTGTGTTTTTGTGGCCGTTGTGAATGAAGAGTCCCGCGACACAAGCGTAGCCCATCGCGCGGCCAAAGGGCCCTGCTTAGCAACTTAATACAAAGTGTTCTCATGTCAGCCCCGCTGGAAATGGATACAATGCAAACATGGGTGTGCATTCTGCTGGGTAAAAAAAAATCCCAGAGAGGCTGGAAGAGTGGGGGGGGGGCACTATTGTCCGTCCTGGAGCCTGTGAATGGAGAGGGCAAACTCGTTTGATTGAGTTCGTTCACCAGCCTCAGAACACAGGAACCTATTATACATGTCCAGGCTTTTTTTTTTTTGTTAAGTCGAGATCAATTCATTAAATTTATTGCCCGGTGAGAAGCTGGGACACATTACGATGGGGGGAACTTCATCTGATATTCATGGTTTAAGATAAGTAGTAAATGTATTCAATTAAGTGGTCTTTCAGAGGAGGCACTGGATGAAGGGGAGGGGTATAGGGGGGGCTGGAAACTCCTCAGCTGACATTGCTAATTGCCTAATGGGTCTCCTTTTTGTGTCAGGAAAATATGTATTTTTTTCCTTTAATTCCTTTTCGTGGCGTGCCAATCACAGCTGAAGTATAGCTTAATGACAGAACAATAGGGAATTACTCTGTTAGGGCTCTTTTGTGATTATATGTAAGGCCGAGCGCCGGGGGAATAGACGCATAACTCATAAATGTGCCACTTCAGTTTATATGATTAAATTCAGCTGCTCTCGCTGTATACCAGACACAGCTGAGTTAACCACTCGCGCTCTGTGGGAAGCTGGAAACGTGCTTTAGATTAAGACCAATGTGCGTTGCCTCTAAAGAGATGTACTCGTATTTGGTCTCATTTGCTGATGTTTGGCTTTAGATGAATAATTTGTAATGCAGTATTTGCTGAATCTCATGTTGTTCCAAATGACAAAACTGAGCAGAATCTTGCTGTCTTTTTAGTTATCTATGTTAAACTGGGGGAAAAAGGCTTTTCTTAGATTTTGTTGCTTTGCTTCTAGTCTAAAAATCTAGAAAATCTTAAATCAAGAAGCATTTTCCAGAGAAGCAAAACATATTGTATTGTTTTGTGAAATAATGTCAAAATTAGGTTAGATTTTCCTTAAATTAAGCAAAATGTGAAATAGTCTTATCCCAAAAGAAAAAAAAACAAGATTATTTTGCTTCAAAATGCACCACACATTCTCTATTGGAGACAGATCAGGACTGCAGGCAGGCCATTCAAGGCCATTCCGCAGCCAGGGCTTTGTAAAGTGTGCACAATGTGATTTTGCATTGTCTTGTTGAAATATGCATGGGCATCCCTGGAGAAGAAGGCAGAATAGTACCTTTAATGATGCCATCCCAAACTGCTAGTTGCTACACATTTCCACCAGGTATAGAGAAGTTGACGGCACTTCTGGACACCGTTAACAAAGGGCTTTTTTGGCACAGTACAGTTTTAACTGACATTTGTCGATTTAACTATGTATTGTGGTACTTGACAGGTTTTCCAAAGCAGTCCTGAGCCCATGTAGTGATATGGCTTATATATATAAATGAGGATTCTTAATGGAGTTCCTCCTGAGGGATCAGAGATCACAATTGTTTAGCTTAGGCTTGCGCCCTTGTCCTTAATGCACTGAAATTCTTTCTGTTGAAGGTAAAAAAAAATCCAAATGTCTTTCTCTCTTTCTTTGAACATTATTTTAAAACGTTTCAATAATTTTCTCACATATTTGTTGGCAAACTGGCGATCATCTGCCCCTTTTTTGCTCCTGAAGGACTAGACCCTTCTTGCATGCTGCTTTTTATATCAAATCATAACTCCAATCACCTGTTGCAGATCCCATCATAATTTAGCATCATTTTTTTGCTTACCCCATTGGCAAATTGGGAAAATTTGCCATTGGGGTTTGCCATTTTTGTGAACTAACTCAAATTGGCTTATTCCTAAAACAAGACAGTATATTTTGCTTGTCTAGAATTTGTAGTTATTTGGACAAGAATCAAGACAAAAAAAATACAATTAACAATTTTTTTGCAGTGTGGAAACAGACTCATGATTTAGGCAAAACCTGTATAGATGGACGTTACTGTTCAAACGTTTGGCCTCTGTAAGATACGTCATTGATTACATAAGGCTATTAAAAAAAACACACATGCTTTCGATAGTAATCCAACACAGGCTTATTGAAAATATGTTCTTAGACTAGATGTTTGTGAAACGGCAAAAAAAAACATACTTGGGGTGCTTTCACACCTACACTTTTGTTTCGGAACAGGTCTCGTTTGCCTAGTTAGCGCGGTTCGTTTGGCATATGTGAACAGGGCAATTGCGCTCTGTTCCATGCCAAAGTAATCGTTCCGAGATCGCTTGAGTGAGGTGGTCTTGGCTCGATTAAAACGAACCCTGGATCGGTTTGATTGCAGTGAGAAAGCGATCCGATCCGAGCACGGTTATATCACAGTGTTTTATGGATATGTAATAGGCTTACGGCTATATGAAGAGAGAATTATGAGTAGGGCGGGAAGTTTCGCGAGTCTCCGGATGCCCGCAAATGAGTGATGATCTCCCGGTAATCTCGCGTCTTCCTCCCGGTCCTCAAATAGGCATCGTCGCGCACACTTCTCACCCCTCCCCACTGCATCTCTCCTCAGACACGTCACGCGCACCCTGTCAATCACCACCAAACCACCACCTCTCCTGACAGCTGAGCGGGACGCTGCAAAATAATCCCTGACACTCTGACCAATGTGAGGAGAGTTTACTCGCACGTTACTTGTTTTAGCTCTTTTGGTCCGATTAGAAACTTTGCAGTGTGAAAGTGAACCGCTCCAAGAGCAAAGAGCAACAATGTAACAATTGTAATCTCTGTTTCGGAACAACTGAATCAATTCACAGGTGTGAAAGCACCCTTAGTTTGACTGCAGTTCCTAAGTAAAATGAAGGGGCAGTATGATAGCAACAACTTTTGTTCCTTTTCACACTAATGATATTTACAGGGACAAATTATTGACGAACAGTGGATTATTTTTGTGCAGTTCTTTGTACAACACTAAATAAATACCACAAAACAAATGACTGATTATAATAAAATACGTTAGCCTCACTCATCTCCACATGGACAACTTTTCTGGCATGGTCAGTTTGTTCGGTAGCTCACTTATTACGGTGTTTTACTTGTAATGCAAAGCACTTTGGTTCGAGTCCAGTGGAACACGATTCCACAGAAGAGATAAAAGCAGTGTAAAATCAAGGTAAAACTGTTTGCATTTGCAAACACTTTGTTGTTTTCATTCATTTAGTCAGAAAGGCTCTCAAAGCTTGGGTCTGTGGCAATGCGACCTCCTGTGGACAGTAGCAAACTCCGAAATGAGAGGCAGAGTTCCATATGAGGTGGTTATTAATTAGCAAATAATATGAACATTACAAACCTAAACATTAGGTAAGCAGGTTACATTGTAACCTCGTGTCCTAACAACATGCTCCATGACTAGAACTTGCAGTGATGAGCAGTTTGGCTGTTTGCACCCGACGAAACACCAATGTAAATACAGCCATTCAGAAACAGAATAGTGCACTCACTGCACTCCAACAAAATGGTAAGGTTTATAATCTAATTAATACATATTAAACCTCTTTAACGTTATTAAACATGGATGCTAAATCACTGATATGTGTTGGCTTGCACTGAGTCACAGTTCTAAAGTTCAATTTCAAACTGTTTATTTTACTTTCAAGATCTGAGGTGAACTATCTGCTGCTGCTTTCAGAAGTAAAGCAATAAATGTCATGTGAAATGGCATTCAAACACACAATGTTAGCATTTAACACTGAATAAAGCACATGAGGTGTGTCTGAGATGATCGTTGTCCTGTTGTTCAGCTGCAAGAACCTGCTCTTACAAATGTTTTGAACTAGGCATGCAATGCCTAGTTCAACCACTGGGTGTCAAACTTCCATACTGCACCTTTAAAGTGCAATACTTTAAAACAAAAGCAGCCTTGGTCTTTCAAAAGAAATGTATTTTCTAACTTCTGTTTAGTCTTTTTTATTTTTTTTCTAAATCGCATAAAATTAATCCTGGCTTCAGATTTACACAGTTCTTAAATTGTGATTGTGAGAGGTTTAAATATTGACTTTACTTCGACTCTGTTGTTTGAATTGCAATATAAACTGGTGTCTCGTACATAAATGCTCTGCAAATGTTGTTAGTAATTCATTTGTTGAAATGTTGGTAGTTAATCATTGTTTTTTTTTTTGTTTTTTTGCTGTGTGTGTTTGCTCTCAGCCAGATGATGTGGAGGGTAAAATCCGAGAGATCATTCCTGCTGGTTTCTGCTGTAACACAGACGACTTCATCTCTGTCCTGGAGAAAGAGGCCAACTTTAAACCCTTCGGCAGCCTGCAGCACACCTACAAAGTTCACAATGTGGAGGCAGGAGAGGATCTCACCTACCAGATACACAAGGTACAGAGTCTCCCACTGCTTTGGCAGAGTCATCCAGACACTGCTCGCTGCAGAGCCACTTGGGCTTCAATGAGGGGGAGCTTGAGCTCCAACTCCTCCTCCTATAAGCTGTTTTAATGCGTGCACCCACCCCTAAACCCAACCCCCCAGTGACATCACTTTTAGGAGGAGTGCAAGGAAGGAGGAGCTGGAGCTCAAGCTCTCTGCAGTGAGTACCACTTGATTCAAACAGCAACTAGGGTTGAGTTTTTAGGTCTTACGATTTACAGTGTAGATTGGGAATAACCAAAAGAAAAGCTTTTTTTTTTTTTTTTTTTTTTTTTTTTGAACCGCATTGAAAAAATCTTTAACAAAGCTTTCTCATTTGGTGCAAGTAGTGCTTGAATCTTATTTTTTCCTATTTGTATTTTCTTTCATGCAATAATAGATATATGAATACATAGAATATGGTATCTGCAAATAGAAAAATGCTCAGATTTGCAATAGTAAAATAAATTTGACTGATTTTATTGAATCTTGTTGATTCATCATTTATTGAAAATGTCACTTTTTAAAGTAACATTTAAAGGCTGTACTAGGTTAATTAGGCAAGTCATTGTATATTGATGGTTTGTTCTGTAGACCAGTGGTCCCCAACCCCCGGCCTGCTGACCGGTACCGGTGGTCTGTGCTAGAAATCATTAATTATTTGCATGGTATTTATTTTTAAAGTCTAAACAATAATTTATTTAAATTTTTAATTTTTATTTTGAAATGTGACCGAGTTCTCTTGGTGACTTTTCAGTCACTTGAGCACCAAAATTTAACACAAGCTAGCAAAAACATTGGAAAGTTTTTTTTACGAAGATGTAAAGGCCAAATAAAGGACCCACGAACTGCCAAGGAATGGATCCGCAACCCATTTGCCAACAAATCAGGTGAATCCAGCATGTCTGTGCTGGAAGAAGATCAACTGCTGGAGATCACAAATCATGGCGACTTTAGGGGCCGTTCTCATATCACGTCTTTTCCAAGCACAAGTTCGCTATTTCCAATGGAGGCGCACAGCTTCCAGGCGCCCCCAATTGAGAACATCTCAACTTTTCAGAATGCCGTGAGCGCACCACAAGATCTTTGACAAGAACTGACAGATCAGCTTCATACTTTGTATGGGATATGCACATTTCAGTGGACTAATTACCTCAGATAAACACAGAACACCCAAACACTGCAGTGCTTTTTAATTTTCTCCGTAAATAAAACTTATATCAGAGTTGCAGCAATGTTTTGACAGCCTCTATCTACGTAGATCGATCCTCCCTTTCCTTGTACGAGGTAAAATTATCAAGCGTTGACCAGTTCGTGGTAATAAAAAGGTTGGTGACCTCTGCTGTTGACAATCAAAAAAATATATTGTTTAAAGGGGCTAATAATATTGGCCTTAAAATGTTTTTTAAAAACTTATTCTAGCCAAAATAAAACAAATAAGACTTTTTCTAAAAGAAGAGAATATTATAAGAAATACTGTGGGAAAAAATCCTTGCTCAGTTAAGCATAATTTGGGATATATATATATATATATATATATATATATATATATATATATATATATATATATATATATATATATATATATTAGGGGTGTAACGATACACTCAGCTCACGATACGATGTGTATCACGATATAATGTTCACGATTCGATATGTATCACAATATTTGGAATAAAAATTGAAAATTAAACTGAAATGCAAATTTTACCAAGTAAACTATTTTTTATGTATTTCTTTTGTTTCAACTTGTTAAACTGAACCTTCTTTAAGAAAATAAATTAAACAGGCCTGTCTCTGGAAAATAAAACAATTTAAAAACTTCTTAAAAATATTATTGAAATGACAGAGACAAAATTAAGGAACAATTTAAGTAAAGGTGCAAAAAAAAAGCTTTCTATTCTATTGAATTTAACAGTAAGAGCTTAAGGCTTTGCTTGGTCACTTGCGTTTTTTGTGTGTGCAAAAAAAATCCACATTTCCAGGTATTTAATTCATATTTAATTAAATTCATTTAGAGATATCTCTAATTACAATTGTGACTAGTCAAAACTCATTTAGAGATATCTGCAAATATTTTTCAATGGAAGTCAATGGAGGAATATGACTAGTCATAATATATTTGCAGATATCTCCAATCTGATTTTGTACTAATACAATTGTAATTGCAGATATCTCTAATTGTCATTCTGACTAGTCGAATTATAATTATGACTAGTCAAAATATAATTAGAGATATCTCTAAATATATTTATGGATAGTCAGAACAAAGGTTTAAATGCTAAAACGGCTTGCCATACGCGCGCGTCTATCAAAGTCCGCCCTCTGTCAGCACAGCTCACAGTCAGCTCACGTCATGTGTGATTTTGCGGCGGGAACATTATATGAAGACAGAATGATATTTTAGGGTGAATTGTACCTTATAAATACAGTATGTGACTCTTTCAACACCATTAGGAGGTATCCCTGTCGCTGTGCAAAGTATGTAAATCACTGTGAAGACTTTAAAACTTAGGATGTTTGACCCAGTATGCGTGTCAAAAAGCAGAAGAGTCTAAAGCAATGACTGTACAACCGAAATGTTGCCAGACGTCTGATTTTGAGAGGATGGGCCATCCTTTATTTCAGCTCCACTCATCTTAATCTGCTAACATTACTGCTGCTGCAATCTGAACTCACATGCGACAGCAGGTGGAACGTAGCTCACGTGCAAACAGCTCAACTAATAAGAGAAAACGGACGTCATATCGTAATCAAATCGTCATAACGCCACGATGCATATTGTGACATTTTTGCATCGCAATAAATCGTACAACGATAAATCGTTACACCCCTAATATATATATATATATATATATATATATATAAAGAGGGGTAATAATTTTGACTTCCACTGTCTGTATGCTCATTTCAGGTGGACATCTCATGTCCAGGCTTCAGAGAATACCACGAGCGCTTACAGACATTTCTCATGTGGTTCATCGAGACGGCCAGTTTCATCGATGTGGATGACGATCGCTGGGATTTCTTCCTCGTGTGAGTGTCACAAATTCATAATGTTGCATCACATTTCTGCAGTAAAAAAAATTATATAATTTGTTCTCCAAGCACCCTCAAATGTCTTACAAACTTGCCAGATTCACAACATGACCTTAAGTGTTTTGTTCATCATTTATGCATAATTTACACGAAAAAAAAATTTTTTTTTTGGTTCTTATTTAGAACTGGTGCATCTTCTAATGAAATTGTGCATGTGCATTAATGAGACAGGATGTAATAAAATCAGAGAAAGATTTTGTATGTTAAAATAACTTGCAGGGATGTCATGAAAGGTTCACGAACATCTACAAGAATCGGGTTGCACTGTAAAAAATAAGTAGTTCACTCTACTTAAAATAAGTGAGTAGTCCTGTTGCTTTTAAAACAATTAGTTGACTTAAAACGTGAGTAAACCTGTTGCTTTTAAAACAATTAGTTGACTTTACTTATAATAAGTAAGTTAACCTTTTGCTCTTAAAAGGATTAGTTGACTTTACTTAAAATAGGGGAGCAAACCTAAACCATTTCCTTTACATTATTAGTTGACTTAACTAAAAATAAGTGTGTAAACCTGTTGCTTTTAAAACGGTTAGTTTACTTTGACCTAAGCAAGCGAGTAAACGCGTCTTAAAATTTATAAGTAAAGGAACTATGCATAATTATAAAGTTAAGTTAAATTAACGCTAACAGTTCCATGTTACAATGGGTTTACTCACTTGTTTTAGGTAAATAATCCATTTTTACAGGTAGTTCACGAACAGCTGTGAAGTTCTTGTGTTAATTGCACTACTATGTAAATGATTAAGACTGTACAGTTCGAAATACACATTTTTTTCTTTCTATGATTAATAGTAATTAAAACACCAACCCAAAGGTTAGTTTTAAAATACAACATTACACTATTTTGCAGTGTCCAACATATTCAGCCTATTTGTGCTTCAACCTTTTTGACTCCCTTTTTGGAAAGTCCCATAAATTTAAACTGTGTTCACTCCTACTTTCTATCAATTCTACAATAGCTCGATTATATATGCACTACCTGACAAAAGTCTTGTCGCCTATCCAAGTTTTAGGCAAATAATAACTTGTAGTTGATCTTTTGGTATCAGAAGTGGCTTTTATGAAAGGCAAAGGCCTGTAGATTACACTTATTTGACCAAAATAAAACGTGATCATGCCTTGATTTTTAATGACTTAATGAAGACAGTAAAGGTCTGACTTTGCTTAGACAAAAGTCTCATCACTGAACAGAAATAATGTCCAATATAGAATATAAAGTCCTGCTGCAGTGGAGACGGAATGAATATTGTGTCTGACTCCATCATGAGCTTGGAGGACTGCATCCATACATCTCTGACATGACTCAAATCACTGATTAATAAAGTCATCTGGAATGGAAAAAAAAGTTTGGAACAAGTGGAGAATGGGTAGAATTTTCATTTATGGATGAACTATCCCTTAAAGTTTTCTCAAATGCCATTGTTGTTTGCCGCTTGATATGAAAGTAATCTCTACGTCCCGAATGAAAACCAATTCACAATCTCTGATGGAGAACTGCTAAATAAAGAGCCTCTCAGATATCTTTTAAAGTTTACTCTCTTAGCTTTTGACCAAATCTAACTTGTTGATAAAAAAAGGAGAGGAAATCAAGTGCTCTTGGAAAGCCTGTGAGTGGCGCTAATAATGTTGAGTCAATGAACAGTTACTTTGTAGACAGTGCTTTTCGTAGAGACACACACACACACACACACACCGAAATCATCCAAACGGCTCCAGTTGCATCTCTCTTTGCCTTTGTGAGGCCAATTAATTCATTTTTGTGAACTAATAGGGCCGACTTAGAAGTCTGCAGTGTTCTCTTGTAAAAACAACAACAGAAAAAGATATTTAAAGGAATAGTTTGAAGAATGCTGGAGACCTGTAACCACTGGTATTTAAAGTAGGAAAAATAGATACAAACATCAGTAACATTCTTCAAAATATCAGAAAAAAAAAGGTTTGCAACAAGTGTAGGAGGAGAATTTTCATTTACAAGTGAACTATTTCTTTAAGTTTTCTCTAATGTCATTGTTGTTTGCTGCTTGATATGATATGAAAAGTGAACTCCAGGTCTAGAATGAAAACAAGTTCACAATCTCTGATTGACAACTGGTAAATAAAGAGCCTCTAAGATTTTTTAAAAGTTTACACTCTTAGCTTTTGACCAAATCTAACTTGTTGATAAAAAAAAAGAGAAGAAATCAAGTGCTCTTGGAAAGCCTGTGAGTGGCGCTAACAATGTTGAGTCAATGAACAGTAACTTTGTAGACCGTGCTTTTCTTAGAGACACACACACACACACTGAAATCATCCAATCTCTCTTTGCCTTTGTGAGGCCAATTAATTCATTTTTGTGAACTAATAGGGCCAACTTAGAAGTCTGCAGTGTTCTCTTGTAAAAACAAAAACAGAAAAAGATCTTTAAAGGAATAGTTAATCCAAAAACAACACTTCTGTCATCATTTACTCTCCCTTCACTCCATCTGTTGAACACCAAAGAAGATATTTTGAAGAATGCTGGAGACCTGTAACCACTGGCATTTAAAGTAGGAAAAATAAATACAAACATCAGTAACGTTCTTCAGAATATCAGAAAAAAAGGTTTGCAAAAAGTGTAAGAGGGGAATTTTCATTGATGAGTGAACTATCTCTTTAAGTTTTCTCTAATGTCATTGTTGTTTGCTGCTTGATATGATAGGAAAAGTGAACTCCAGGTCTACAATGAAAACAAGTTCACAATGTCTGATGGAGAACTGCTGGATAAAGATCCTCTCAGATATTTTTAAAAGTTTACACTCTTAGCTTTTGACCAAATCTAACTTGTTGATTAAAAAAGAGAGGAAATCAAGTGCTCTTGGAAAGCCTGTGAGTGGCGCTAACAATGTTGAGTCAATGAACAGTAACTTTGTGGACAGTACTCTCCTTAGAGACACACACACACACACACACACATCGAAATCATCCAAACGGCTCCAGTTACGTCTCTCCCTGCCTTTGTGTGGCCAATTATCAGGCTGCTTTAATTATATTTTCTCCCGCACTGAGGCAAAATTGTTGATCTGGCAAGAGTTTCCTTTGTGTTGTTTGTCTCGTTTCTTTTGCTCCTGCGTTTCTTTCTTGATTCAGGCCAAGAGGCTGAATTGAATGTTGTTGTCTTTTGAAAGCGCTGAATGAAGTCTCCAGCGGCAGTGAAGGGGGACTCTGCCTGTGTTTTCTTTGCTTTGGCACCTATTAAAACAGACAATGGGCGAATGGACTGGAGTGATGTGAAGAGGCTCTCTGCTCCAAGTTGCAGTGCACCAATTAAGTGCATAAAGCATTCAGTGTCTCCAGCAGGTGCAGCGACCGGCTACCGTGCTGGCACTGACACCATCAGGGAGGGGGGACTTGCGTCCGGTGCATGGGAGCGTGCCTACGATTGACCTGCCTTTGTCATCTCTCTTGTCTTTCTTGCAGATTCGAGAAGTACAATAAGGACGGAGAGACCCTCTACGCAACGGTTGGCTACATGACAGTGTATAATTACTACGTATACCCAGACAAAACCAGACCACGTGTCAGGTAATTACCGAGGAAGCACGTGCCCGCTTTATTCTGCAGAAAATTACACATCTCTCTCTCTCTTTCTCTCTTTCTGCCTTGTCTCTAAAACTCCCAAATTATCGTCTCGCATCTCTATTGCGTTCCAGCCCCTCTCTGGGTATTATAAGAGCCACGGATTCAGCATCACCCACCCCGATTTTTGAAAACGAGTCTAATGTATTGATTGGCAGGACGCGCTAACGTTTCATTACAGTTGGCCACCGCTGAATGAACAGATATAACCTTTCGGGAGGCTGATGATATCATTGCTTACTGTATTTGAGAACATTTCCAGCATCTACAATGAGACGGGTGAAAGTGTGGATGTCTAAATCTGTAATTCTCAACTGGTGGGTCACTACCCAATATCACAACAGCAATGATCAATGTTACTGTTTCTCTTATCTGCAGAATAAATATTTAAACAGATTAGGCTCAAAAGTAATATGGCTTTTTAAGCTCTTACATTAAAGCATACCGATTATGTCTCTTTTTAGAGGATTTAAAATAAGTCTCTGATGTTTCTAGAGTGTGTGTGTGATGTTTTAACTCAAAATACCACACAAATAATGTTTTATAATGCTTTAAAACGGACCCTTTTAGGCTTTGATCCGAATTGTGGCGTTTTGGTGACTGTCGCTTTAAATTCAAATGAGAATAGGCTCTTTTTAAAAGGGGTCGGGGCTACTATATGATGCATTGATCATTTTGTCTCGATTAATGTTTTTTCATAATGGTTAGAAATCAACATCGAAACCGAGTCTTCAATTAATCGCACAGCCCTACTATATATGCAAGTGTGTTTAAACCCCTTTAAGGATTTTTGCATAATAGGTCTCCTTTAAAATACATTATAATCAATACATTACAATTACCAGGGCTCGAAATTAACCTTTTTGCTTGGTTGCACTGGTGCTCCTAACTTAAAAAATGTAGGCGCATCAGCCAAAATTTAGTCGCACCCACCAATTATAAGCACCGTTACTACTAGTGTTATACAAACATATTTATTATATTTGAAATCAACAGTAATCAAACTAACAAGCAAAAAAAAAATGTATATATATATATATATATATATATATATATATATATATATATATATATATATATATGCAAGCATGAGGAAAATATGTCTCAACGAAATCCCGTAATCACAAAAAAATAGATTTTTATAACAGAACTGAGTGACCAAAAGATACACGGAGCGCTCACCGGCCCTGCACACACTGCTTGACATTAATGAGTCTGTAAACGGTATAACTGTGCTGTTCTCACGGGTGCTGTCTGATATTGCACTGATAATTTTGACATATACTGTACCTTATTATATGCATACGTCATGTTAATAGCAATATCAGTCTTTTTATGAGTAGCGATATTAGTTTACTCTATATTAGTTTACTCGAGTAGCGATATTAGTTTAAATTTGGAGTTAAATTTTACATATAGCTGCTACTTGCACGGCGGACAGCATCTGTCGATTATATGAAGAAGTAAACAGAAGCTTTCGTGCTAGATGTGGTTACCTGAAAATTCTATCCCACAGACTTTTCATAGCGGACTTGAAGCCAATGGTCTTTTATCCACTCTTGGAAAAGTGTAGATTAACATTCAGCTCATGATCACTAGTAAGATGTGTCATTATTTGTAACTTTAGATGGTTTCTAAAACAAAATCTGTCAGTGTTATCTTGATTCTCATCTTCAGCGCTTAACAATTTTTCGCGGTAGTAGCTCTCTCTGTCATCCCAAGCCAGAAGGCATTGACTGAGCGATTGACAGCTGATATTTCAGTGCTAGAGCAGTGGTGGGCCAATAAGAAGAGCGCGAAGGCGGGGCAAGCATTACGGACTTGGCTTTGTTTACTGCAGCAAGTTGACATGACAACTGTTTTAAACCATTCCTGAGCGCTGCGTTTCGCATGCAGAGATGCATCCTGCGTGAATGTCTCCCAAAACCGCGCATGTGGTGAACATTTTGCAGTAAAAGCTGGTCGCACACAACAATTTTATGCACTCGCACAAATGCTCCCAAATATATTTTGAGGGCGCATAGATAAAAGTTCAGGCCCATATGCAGCCAAAACGGTCGCAATTTCAAGCCCTGATTACTATACAGAGGACTGATAGACATGATTGCAGAAGACATCCTTTAATAAAATTGAATAACCCCAAAAAATCTTGTCTAGACAAAGGATTATTTATGACACGATAAAAAGCCTCTTTTTAAGGTTAGTGGTGGAGTCCCAAACTTTAAATACATTGTTATTTTTAAGGTTATTGTGCACTGAATCTAAAACTTTCCTCTGTAATTTTCGCACATGAACAAGTTTATTCGACCTCGAAATTGTGTGAATTTTATTGACACACTGCCTCCGAAACTTTTGTCCATCATAAAAAAATTCATTTGTAAACTAATTAGTTTTGTTTTCTTTGCATATATGGATTTCTCTGGTTGTTTTTAAGTCAACACACCTTTAGAAATGTGTTTTCTGAGAAAAATGGTGACATGTTCATTACTTATTTTCACCCCGCTGTATAAATGAAACCTCCGGCCTTTAGTGTGTGTGTTTCATTGCATTGTGTGGCCATTCAGTAGTGTTAGATGTGTAAGGGGACTCTGTGTTTTGCAGAACGCTTGCTCAAAGCTTTAAGAGCTCTAACCTTAAATTGATATTGTGCTGAAGTGTCGTGCTTTTCCATCTCTAAAACCTTTTGTGTTTCGTGTGTGTGCAGCCAGATGCTGATCTTACCACCTTTCCAGGGAGAAGGCCACGGGGCTCAGCTGTTAGAGACCGTCCACAGATACTACTGCACATCTCCTAAAGTGCAGGACATCACAGGTACCAGCACACTGAGACCTTGATTTTCAACAGGTTGTTATTTTTTTGGGAGTGAACGCATACTTTAAAAAAAGCACTATTTTTAATGTTACAAGGCGGTTAATCTATAAAGGAATTATTTTAAATGTAAATGCTTTAAAGAGAGTATATATATTTTTATAACAGTAAATCTTTAAAAAAGTTTTAGATTTTAATAATATTTAATGTATAATTTATTAGTGTCTATTTGCTAACGATTATAGATTTTGGTTGTACGATTATAGTCTGAAGAATAATCATGGTTTCACGGTTATCACAATTATTATTCATTTAATAAATTCAAAACACTACTAGTTTAGAAAATAACAATTAAACTGTGTATTTTATAGTGTTGTTTATTGCTGCTTAGTAACCAAATACAGCACAAAGTATTAATATAAAACAAACAATAGTCCATTTATGTTTGTTTCAAAGTCTACCTACTGATTAATTTTATTAATGAAAGCAAGTTCTATAGTGTAGTTTGCACCGTGCTCTTGAGTTGCTAGTTTCTTATATTTATATAACTTGTTTTAATAATTAGGCAATGATCCGCACTCTGCACTCGTTAAATAATTGTCATTTTGATGTTTTTTATTTTAAAGTTCTAAGCTGAAATGTTTGTGGTTTTGTTTCCAAAACAATGCGAGATAAAAAAGATCAAAATGAGAATAATTCAATGACTGCAGATCACTGACTACTTGTAATAATGAGAGCAGTGCTAAACATGGCCCTAACCTTAACCCAAAAATGCCATAATGATTTTTTTTATAAACTGTGCATGCTTAAATAAAGTTGAATGCATTATAACCTTTTAAATCATTCTTATTTTTTTTAAAATAATCTTTGAAAATAGTATTATTTGATTAGAAAATGAAAATAAAAACGTTTGAATGTGTGATCCTAATGATTTACTCTGTAAGGCAAGTTGTATTGAGTTTCTGTTCATAAGGCATTTGTTGCTGTTGTGTTGCTCTGCCTTTGGTTTTGGGGAGGTGAAGGGATGAAGGGATGTGATGTTAATTGCTGGCGGTTTGCTTCTGAAATGTGCTGGCCACATGCTGCCACTCACTCACCCTGCAACAAAGACACAATTATTCAGAGAGTAAAGAGGACTTCAGTGTTGCAGATCTTTGCCAAGCCCTCTGCATCTTAACATGTTTATTACTCATTTAGGATGCGTAAATGATATCAGATTTGTAAATTTTGGGTAAACAAACCCCCTTTTTTTCTATTTTTATTTTCTTTTTTTTTATTTTACTTGTTTCTTTTATTCTTGTTTATGTAAAGCACTTTGAATTGCCACTGTGTATCAAATGTGCTATAAAAATAAACTTGCCTTGCCTTTAATATAGATATTATTGAAAATATTCTATTTGTTTTAAATAATATTTATTGTTTACAATAAAACAGTTTATTAATTTTAGGCAAGCATGATATTGGGAAAATCTGACATTGCCATTTATTTTGTTTTTTGGCAATATAATTTTTACAAATGACTTGAATAGCGTTATTCAGAAAAAATGTATTTATTTTGGTTGATTAGGATAATACATGTTGCATTGATATATTTATTTCATATAATTGCAGACATTACAGTAGGCTATTTCACATATCATTGATCTGCAGTATAATCAAATCATGTTGATAGAAAGGTTAGTAATGAACATATATACACAAGTATTTATGAGTATAAAACATCTGTTTTGTGAGAAGTATCATCTGATCTCCTATAAATCAAGAGCTCACAATGACATATGATGACATGTGCAGGTGCTGTAGTGGTGTCCCATTTCTTAGAGGTAAAATTTGAGGCCCTTTAACCTTCACACTCTGTTTCAAGGGCCAAGGAGAAGGGGTAAAAAATAGAATTGGGATTGGGTTTTAGGTTTTCATAATTTCCAGACTAAAAATGCATTTAATTTCCACCAGTGGTGTATTCAGCAAATATGAGTTTCCTCAAAGGGAAAGCCAGTAGTGTTGGTCTGAGGTAGATGCCGTTGTGTTGTGTTTTATCAAATGAACACTTTCAAGATGCTTGCGCTGTCTGTCTGCTCTGCAGCGGAAGATCCATCTGAAAACTATGTGAAGCTGAGGGACTTTGTGCTGGTGAAGCTCTGCTTGACTCTGCCGTCATTTGCCAGCGAGAAACTTTCCCAGGGTTTCAGTGAAGAGATGGCATCTGAGGCCAGAGAGAAACTCAAGATCAACAAGGTAACATTCCTAGCATTTTACTTACTTTCTATCTTTCCTATAGTCCAGAATGAACAGAACAATAACACAAAAAACACAGGGCTTTAATAACCATTTTTGTTTGTCTTAGCCAAGATGACATGCATAATATACACTCACCAGCCACTTTATTAGGTACACCTTACTAGTACCGGGTTGGACCCCCTTTTACCTTCAGAACTGCACTGATCCTTCGTGGCATAGATTCAACAAGGTACTGAAGATTTTGGTCAATATTGACATGATAGCATCACGCAGTTGCTGCAGAATTGTCGGCTGCACATCCATGATGCGAATCTCCTGTTCCACCACTTCCCAAATGTGCTCTATTGGATTGTGATCTGGTGACTGTGGAGGCCATTTGAGTACAGTGAACTCATTGTCATGTTCAAGAAAACAGACATGATTCACGCTTTATGACATGGTGTGTTATCCTGCAGGAAGTAGGTATCAGAAAATGGAACGTGGACGTTGTTCTTTGGCTGCCTTCGCATCATCCATGTTCTGGGACCCAGAAACAGTATTCCATATGTCATGACTTAACAAGCGGAACCAGTTAAACTCAGTAGACCCGGTACCAGGTCCGTGATTTCATCGACTTTCGCTTTAAGATTTAAAGGGCTAGCATTGCACCAGACCCCCATAAGTGGTTTCGTTAGAAAGTGTAGAATATGTATTTTATGCACATTTGCATCACTTTGGTTTTTATTCTACTGTACAAAAGTTATTTACACTTAAATACACAGTATTTTGGATACCCGAGCTGGGCATTTTACATTGGTTCATTTTCGTATTTTTCCTGTGACACATGTACAAGTTATAGCTCAAATATAAGCTCTTGCCGGTGCTCATACGGTTCTAGCGTTCTTTTTACTGAATTATATTCACATATCAAACAGTTGCCAAGTGAATCATGGTGTTTCCATGGTGCAGAAGTGAAAACAATACATTTATGATCAATAAGCAGCCCCAGATAGCACAGACAGCTGTCATCTCTTACTTTATGCTGTGTTCTTCAGGGTCATTCTCCTCAGTTTTTGAGCTGATGTGCATAAGTAATCCTTTTATATGTCTGATGTGGTCCAAACATAGTGAATTATGTTTGATCAAACAAAAGAATAGTGAAATATGAAAACAATGATCGCTCCCTGTGGCTTGTACAGCACCTCTCATCAGTTGGAATACAATAACTTTTGCATAGATTATGGTGGAGACATTTTTCTTGTCTCCTATGATTACAGACATGTGCAGGAACCACCAAAATTAATTACAGCACGCTAGACCACACACAACCTAAAAGGTGCACTTTCAAATTTGAGTTTATAAAACAAAAATAAAAAAAGCGCCTCCTTTTGTAGGTGTTTATTATAACACAGAAAAAACAGACCGATATTTTAAACACTTTCAATAGTCTTTAATGAAAATTCAAAGGGTTTTTTTTAAAATGATACCAAATTTTTGCATTTACACCTCTGCATGTGGATTTGGGAAGCTTTTAAATTTGGGTAGGCAAAATCCAGGCGGAAATCCCCAAAATAACAGCAGAGTTTAACTGGTTAAGCAAACTAAAAAAGTAACTCACATTACTTTTCTAAAAGTTACTCAAATATTGTTACTTAATTGTTAAAAGTAATTTGTTACTTTACTCGTAACTTAGAAAAGTATTATTATATTTTGTAACTATTACATATTTATTTCATTACCCAGACACAATGTTTGCCTTTTTTAGCTCTTTCTGTGAAGATTTAATGCTCCGTAGGATTAAGTATGATGAATTCTCTAAAGAGTTTGTGCAGTTATACACAAGCTTTGTCCTAATGGGTTTTCATCATGTAATGCTCTAAAGGTAGAAGTGAACATCCGTTTCCTCTGCGGGCCATTAGCAGGTAGTGAGTGGGAGTGGGCCTAACAGTGACCCCTGTGGGTCTCCTCTCTCTCGCGCCTCTCCGGCCACTCTTTAACTGCTCCAATTATAACCCAGCATCCCCTTTTATGCCCCACAATCCCCTCTGTTCGTGTTGTTTGTGAGTGATTATCTTAGGGTGGTGCCTGTGGCTTGGCCAGGCAAAATGCTTGGCTCTCCATACTACCCTAGCGGGAGCTGCGTGAGGTATGCTGGACCTCTCGGAGTCATGGTTACAGAAAGAGCAGTGCTTACAGATCGGCCAGACTCAGGAGTAGTGCGGGAATCCCAAAGCAAGATGCTTTTAACCCAGAGGAATGGAAAAGGTTAAAGGTTCAGTCTGTAATTGCTGCTGCTGGTAGATTTTGTCCAGTTCACTTTATTTAGGGCCTTGGTTCTTTAATCCACTGGTGGTGGATAAGGAGATTTCCCACAAATAAATGTGTAAAGTGCTTTTGAGTATCCGGAAAAGCGCTATATAAATATAGTATTTATTATTATTTCATTTAACAAAACTTCATTGATTGATTAGATCTTATTTAATGACGCTAGGGCTGCTTGATACCGGAAAACTATACGATTTTATTGTTAAGTATTGCGATAATATTTCATATGATATAACCATATAACTTACGATATAGCTAGCTATGTTTTTAAGTCATTTGTTTACTATTGATGTTAAAATCAACAGGTCTACTGAAGTAATTAGCTAAATATAGATCTAATTAATTTGAATTCAGACTAATAAAAGAGGTCAAGGTGTAAACGTTTTGGCTTTAAAACGCTATGAATGAGTGAAAACCTGCACAGATATTCTGACTCTGATTGGCTGTTGTCTTTATAAGTATTTATTTTCAGCTCTGGGTTCACTCCAGCCAATAGCAGAGCTGCTCCGGAGGCGGGGTTAAAGATAGTAAGGCCTCATTTGATTGGTTAATTTTAGATAAACAACCAATGCATAAAATACATGTCATTTATCACACGTCTTCGATATGTATATTGAATGCCATTATCGATACGTTTATTATATACTATTATTGCAATAACGATAATTTTGCGATCTATTGTGCAGCCTTAAATGACATGCAAATGAAAAGTATAATTGTTTATGTTTGACTGAACTTAATAAATAAATCAGTTATGGCCTTTGCCTTCATACGTATAAAAACATTTCTGGAAGTTGCCTAGATCATGAAGTCAATCTGTTTTATATGATTGTAGTTCTGATATTAGGGTTTGAGATCAGAATTCTAAACTATTCTGAATCCGATTTTGTCATTTACATTTGTTTGTATGACTTCGCTAGGGCCAGACAGAATGTGTGACCTTTTTTTTGTGGTATTTCTTACGATATAACAGTAGCAATATTTTTATTAGCTGTGTTTTTAAGTGATTTGTTTATTATTGATGTTATTTAAATATAAATAGATATAGATATATATAAATAAAAATAAAATAGCAAAATTTAGATATAAATAATTCTAATTCAGACTATTAAACTGTGTCGAGGTGCCAACATTTAGTCTTGATAACACTACGAATGAGGGAGTAACCTCTTCACATATTCTGCCTCTGATTGGCTGTTTTCATTTCTCGCCTTGGCTCCACCCATTAGGGTTTATTTTTAGCTCTGGGTTCAACTTTTCATCACTCCAGCCAATAGCAGAACAGCAACTACTGGGGAGGTGGGCTTAAAGATGGTTCGGCCACATGTGATTGGTCAAATTTGGATATACAATCAATGCATAAAGTAAATGTGATTTTTTTTTTTTTTTTTTTTACGCATGTCTACGATATGTAATTTGCATATATGTTATCACGATAGCAATAATTGCGATATATTGTGCACGCAAATGAAAAGTATAATTGTACATGTTTGACTGAACTGAATAAATAAATCAGTTATGGCTTTTGCCTTCATACGTATAAAAACATTTCTGGAAGTTGCCTGGATAATGAAGTCTATCCGTTTCATATGATTGTAATTCGGGTATTAGGGTTCTAGATCAGAATTATAAACAATTCTGAATCCGATTTTGTAATTTACATTTGTTTGTATGACTCGGCTAGGGGCATACAGAATCTTTGATTTATTAATTTTTTTTCCTGTTTCTGAGTATAATTTAGTTAAAAAAAGGGCAGAATATACAGTGTTGATTTTACAAAACTGTATTGAATGATTAGATCATATTGTAAAGACACTAGGGCTGCACGATACTGGAAAAATATGCGATTTTGTTGAGTATTGCGATATTTCTTACGATATAACAGTAACAATATTTTTATTAGCTGTGTTTTAAAATAATTTGTTTATTATTGATAGTAAATAAACAGATCCTATTAAGTAACTAGCTAAATTTAGATCTAATTAATTCTAAGTCAGACTAATAAATGAGGTCGAGGTGCAAACATCTAGTCTTGATAACGCTACGAATGAGTGAAAACCTCTGCAGATATTCTGCCTCTGATTGGCTGTTGTCATTTCTTGCCTCGGCGGGAAGTTTAATGGGAAGTTGTTGCAGACGAGAGTGTAGAGGATTGGGGAGTTGCGGAAGAAAGTGAAAGTGAACAGCGGATGGGGGAGGAGGGCGGTTGAGGAGGGTAGATCGGTAAAATGAGGTGCCGGATCAGATTTCAGAGATGCCGGATCCGTCGTGTTCCAGCACAAATAAAGCCCTACTCATCCTCAATTAGTCATAAACCTTTAAGAGATTCTTTCTTCTGTTGAACACTATAGAAGATATATTAAAGAAAGCTGGAAACCATTGACGTTCATAGTAGGAAAAAACAAATACTAAGTCAATGGTTGTCATCATTCTTCAAAATATTTTCTTTAGTGTTCAGCAGAAGAGTGCACCTGGTTTTAAACCAAGCGGCAACCTCCCGTTCTCCCTCGGGAAGCCAATACAGAATTAACTAAAACTGCAATTCATTGAAATTCCGCTAGTCATGGCTCCATAATAGAGCAAATTTCAATTGAGCCCACTGTTAGAATGGCCAACTTTACAGCAGAAAAAAAAGGTGTTTACAGCCTGATACAAAGAAAGATTTTGGTTCATACAGCTGATATTACCCTTGATGACAACTTTGAGGGGGGTGCATTTTTTTATAACTTATCCGTTTCCTTTATATTAGGCTATATTAAGTTTGCATAATTAAGGGCGTGGCCACTTAGTGAAATCACCGATCTCAGCATATTTATCGTATTTCTGTGTTGTTTTATGTGGCTTTCACCCTTTTGGACTTATTTCCTTCAATTATCAGATGATATGGGATGCTGTGTGCACTTAATTGTGCTCACAAACCATTCACGTGGCCTCCGTTTCCCGTGTGAGTAAAGTTACATACTTGTATACCATCTCTATACATGTATTTGTTTTATTTAAGATCATTTATATTTATATTTAGAGCTGTAATACACTACAGAATCTGACAGATTGATTAGCTGAACCGTCATCTGAAGCGTTTATCATACAGTGATAGGCTGGATGTCATCAATAGTCTTGCATTTACTAACACAGACTATATCTGAAGTGTTTGGACGTAATTCACTTTTTCCTCCGGTTGAAAAACATCATAAGAGCAATGCTTAGTGGCTCAGTGTATTACAGCAGTGTTTTTTAAACGTCTAAACACTTTATTGATGTAGTGTACAACTAAGAACATGTGGTCAGAACATAAACGAGTCGCAGGTGATAAAGTATTAAGCGTTCTCCCAAAGTAAAGTCTGTCTAAGCCAGGTCCAAGCAAAATGCCAGCAGGTGTCTGTAGCTCCGCTCACTCTCCGCCTCTTTGCCCTTGTTTGGTATCCCGCCGTGGGTGTGATGACACGCAAACAAAATGGCGAAGGTTGGCCGCACCTACTTGTGGCTTCTTTTGCGCTCTTCAGAAACCTATGGGTGACGTCACGGATACTACATCCATATATTTTACAGTCTGTTTAAACAAGTGAAGCATGAACGACACAGTTTTTAATTTAGAGTGTACTATCCCTTTGATTTCAATCTCTAACAGTATGTCTCTGGTCTAATTTTCAGAAACATGCACGACGTGTTTATGAGATTCTGCGTCTCCGAAATACAGACATGAACGATGAGAAGAAAGCCCGAGAGTTTCGCTTGGAGGTGAAAAAGCGGCTCTTCGGACCCTACAGAGTAAGTGTGTGTTTTTATGTGTGCGTTTGTGTCCATCCCTGTCTGCAGTCTGACGGAGAACACGGAGTACATATTACCCATTAGGTGGAACTGCCACAGCTCCCCTGCAATGATTAGTCAGTCATAAAGCGCAGCCCGAACTTGGTGTACCGAACAGCAATCTCAAGAAACAACAAAACAAGTGAAGTCCTGCCAAAACAAACCCCCGGCTGCGGCTGCCAAGACCGCTCCAAAACCGCACGGCTTCAAACTACAACATGTGAAATGAAGCATTTCTGGACTTCAAAGCGAGCTGCACATTTTCGAGGTCCGTTTAGACGAGTGAAAAACCAAATACTGAACAGAAACACAACTCTTTCAGCGCTGCCGTTCTGACATTCTGCAGTCTTTGTCTGGCGTAATTTATTCATGGAGTGGCGTGAATAGTTTCCTGTGTGATCCTCTCACGCGGTGTTAAGAGCCGGAGGGACCTGAGGCCGGGCTCTGGGTTTGTTTGAGGGTATAATGGCTCACACCAGGCGGCAGCCGCAGTCTCCACATCCACACCACGAGCTCCATTCACAACAAGTGTCATTATTACAGATTTGCATCTGATTTAAAGCGGAGCCATTTAGCAGGGAGAATGCAGCACCCAGTCACCTGCACACAGTCTCAGTCTCTCTCTCTCTCTCTCTCTCTCTCTATAATCCGTCCGCTCTGCATGAAGACATGCTGTGGATGTGAAGCTGTTCCTCCGAGCATCAGTGTTGTATAATTATTTTGCCCTCAGCAGTTATCTTTCTGCAGGGTTTTATATGTTACAGTTGTAATAATGCATTGTTTAAATGGCGTTTTTACGAGAAGGGTCTGGCTGCAGAGTTGCACTTGCATCCTCAGGCTTGCACTCTCGGGCTTGCACGCTCAGGCACCCATGCTTTTTATGCAAGTGACGTCATTTACAATCGACACCTGCACCTGTCGCGTCAAATTGAAATTAACACAAATAAGTTTTCAGTTCGTTTGCGTTGACAGTGACGACGTTGTCAAATAATATTAACTTGTACACAATAACAGTTCTGCCAGCCCAGTTTGTCCTCCGAACATAATGTCGTGATCAACTGAATAATGCCTAGTTCAAACTGCGTGATTTTAGCCCCGATTTTGGCTCGCCGACAGGTTTTGAGAAATCGCCTACAAATGCCTGAAATTACAGGCAAATCGCTGCTCGTGCACGCGAGTGACAATCACACTGTATGAACTATCAAAGACGCGATCTGAGAGGATCGCCGATGAGTCGCCGATGCCTGCGAGATATTTGGCGTGCTGAATATCTGGAGCTGTCGGCAATTCAAATCATGCCGTGTGAATTGAGTTTTGACTGAAAATAACATTGGCGATCGCCTACAGCCAATGAGAGAGCAGCATTCACTTGTGTGTGCGTGTGTGTATAGCTGCTGCAGGCCAGCGGGAGGCTGGGGGAAGTTAAAAGCGATCATTTTCGGTACATTTTGTGCTCCTTTTTTTACCGACGCCATTATAACGACACCGATCACTGCCTATTCACGAGTCCCGCAGAAAAAAGTGATTGACAGGTGGTAAATATGTGTGTATCTTACCTTTATTCATTTACTGTATGATTTGTTTATGGGTAAAACAAAGACCATGCAGGTCAGGTAGTTTAAACGGTAGGCTACAAATAATTAATTCGTTATTAGTTAATTAATTATTCATAATCGAAAATCGAATCGTGACTTCAGAATCGAAAATGTAATCGAATCGAGGATTTGGAGGATCGTGACACCCTTAGCTGCAACTAACAATTATTCTAATAATCGATTAATCTATCAATAATTTTTCTGATTAATCGAATAAAAAAAGCATTAATTTCCTACCGTCGGAAACTAGCCATAAAATAAAAACACTGCCCGAACTCTTCATTCCTCAAGAGGATTCAGCGGCCAAAAGATTTTGATTTTGTCTTTATTTTTCTTCTTCTTACTCGCCTTGTACTTTGACTCCATTAGCCGTGTCTTTTCACCGCGTGCGTGCTGAATCTCCTCTGAGGCTGTGCTGATATTAGTTGATATGTTGCAGATAATGTGAGTTGATCTTATATGTGCTTTGGTTCTGAAGCTCCAGCGGTGGTAATGCGTTGAATCAGAGCTGCTCACATCCTGACACTGTCCAGAACAGAAAACTCCCAACAGCAGAAAAAAAAGACCAAAGAGAGTGAGCCAATGAAAGAGTGGAAAACAAACCATACTGTATGAGGCTGGAGAGGAAATAGAGCAGGATCTGCAGACCATATGTGTCTCTCTCTCGCTCTGTTCTGGTGGTCTATTTACTCTGAATGAGTTGCGTTATTTGTGTGTGTATGAAGGTAGAGATTTAGGTGGTAATTCTCTTATATGAACTGTGCTTGACATTTCAGTACACACTTTGTTTTTAAGGTCTATTGACAGAAGTGCGCCATTAATATTATTAAATGAGCTGGATCACCAATTTAAGACCCACAGACTCAGTGTTTTCTTTTTATAACATTTACTTGAGACAGTATAATCAACAAATTAGTGCTGAACAATATATATTTTAAGCATTGATATCGCATTTTGTGTATTCGCAAAAGTCACATGGCAGGAATAGATTGTGCATTAAAGATTAAATGTTGAAAAGGACTATTATTTATATTTTTTATATTTATATATATATATATACATATACATATATATATATATATATATATATATATATATATATATATATATATATATATATATATATATATATATATACATACATACACACACACACGCACACGCACACACACAAACACACACACACACGTCAGAATTATTAGCCTGCGTATATTTTTTAAATTGCTGATATAATAGTGGAAGTTAGTTCTATCAAAAGACATTTTGTTAGCGTAACACTCAACAATATAGCATATTTTCCCTCCTTCGTATAGCCAAGACGGTGTGTGTGAGTGTATAAGTGTGGGAGCCCTTTTGAATCCAGGTATTGCGAGTTTTGGTTCAGTTTCAAAACCTCTCAACAACCTTAAAGACTAAATTTCTCCGACTTTGCTGCTCCACATGAGCTATAGGTGTGATGTAATCCCATTTGCCCGGGGGGGGGCGGGGGGGGGTTGAGTTGAGTGGCAGTATGTGGATGGGATCGGGTGAGCTGGTTTGCATCGTGTGTTTTTTTTTGTTTTTTTTGACTGACACCTGTGTGTTTTCTCTCGTGTGTCTGCAGAAGAACCAGCGTGAGCTGACGAAGATGCGTAAATGTTTGAGACCCGAGGAGCTGGCGTCCCACATCAGCCAGATGGACACAACGCTGCAGCACGAGGAACTGGAGAAAAGCTACCAGGACGTGGTGGCTGAATATCGCAGAGTCCTGGAGCGACTGGCTCAAGTGTGAGGACAGGAGACTGGAAAGACTGGCTGACACCCACACACAGATCTTTGGCATTGTACCCAGTGTTAATAAGGATTTAAACGTGATCCATCCACATTTGTGATAGACAGACAGACAGATAATGGGCAGTTGTTCAGAATAAGAGATGAGTGCATTGGTCTACTGTGGAGATGATTTTGTTAACGCTTTTTTCCATCAAATGATTTTCCTTGAAATGTAAAAAAAAATGTAGATTTCGAAGCACTTCCTTAAGAGAACAAATAAAATGTTTTGTATATTGCTCAAATAAATGGTTTGCCATCTCTTTGATGATGTCTGAAAAACATCTTTTCTTTTCAGTGTTGGCGAGTCAGCTCTGAAACTGTAGCTTGTAGGGGTGCAGTAGTTCTGGGAAAAAAAAAAAATATATATATATATATATTATATTATTATTTATATATATATATATATATATATATATATATATATATATATATATATATATATATATATATATATATATATATATAAATAATATAATATTTATAATATATATATATATATATAATATATATATATATATATATAAATAATATATATATATAAATTATATATATATATATAAATAATATAATATTTATAATATATATATATATAAAATATTATTTATATATATCTATATATATATAATATTATTTATATATATATATATATATATATTATATATATATATATATTTATATATTTATTTATTTATATATATTTATATATATATATATATATATATATATTATATATATATATATTTATATATTTATTTATTTATATATATTTATATATATATATATATATATTATATATATATATATTTATATATTTATTTATTTATATATATTTATATATATATATATATATTATATATATATATATTTATATATTTATTTATTTATATATATTTATATATATATATATATATATATATATATATATATATATATATATATATCAGCATCCTGTTGTCCCAAAGAAAAGTCTTGAATTGTGTCCGAAATCACCTACTACGAGTGGTGAGAAGAGTACTGAAAAATCATACTCATTTAAAAGTACTGTTAGTTGCCTAAAAATGTAGTGCGTGTAGAATAAAAGTATCTGTTGTAAATATTACTCAAAGTATAAAAAGTAGCCCTTTCTAAAGTACTCAAGAGTAGTGAGTATTACTCTGTGAAACGATGATGCGTTTACATGTAATTTGTGGATGTGTCTGTGTAAACGTAACATTCTGTAGTGCATGTAGTTATTGTCCAGCAGGCACACAACGTCATAAGACGTTAATATTAGGTTAGATATAGGTTGTGATGTCAGGTGACTAAAATTCAATGTCTAGCCAGCGTCAAAGGACAATGTTATTTTGATGTCCAATAATGACGTTGATATTTGGTCGATTTTAGGTTGTTAGAAAGTGACTAAAATCCAACATCAAGTCAACATCTTAAACCAACGCCATATTGACATCAAATACTGACATTTATTCATCAGATATGGCAACAAAAATCCAACATCTGATAGACGTCATAGTGTTAACGCCCACACAACTTCAAGCTGTGACATCATTAGACGTTGATATTTGGTATGTTTTAGGTTGGACGTTGGTCTGACATGGAGTTCTGACGTTAACCCGATTTTAATTTCCAAACAAAATGCAACGTCCCCACGACCTTGGGGTACAACGTCAATCTGACGTCTTGTGCCTGCTGGGTGTTTAAGGCCATTTCAGTCATTATACAGTAAACATTCGTCATCTTCTCATCAGTGACATGCATCTAAACAGTCTCTGGGTCAATGCGTGTAAAGATTTTAGACGTCTTCTTGGACGCTTTTAATGCTTCCAAACAGTTTGCTGCATTTATAAATCGCTCATGTCTTGAGGTTGTTCATTATGATGCGATTTTCCTTCTATGCTTTAATGGGACAGGAATCTGACTTTTATAATCCCCATAGACAAGAAAATATAAAGTAGTGACTGCAGGTTGAAGGAAAGTAGTGAAGTAAATGTACAGATACTGCACTAAAAATGTACTCAAGTGAGGCTAAAAGTACACATTTTCAAAACAACTTAATAAATTATGATTCCTGAGAAAAACTACTCAATTACAGTAATTAGAGTGTTTGTAATTAATTACTTTACACCACTACCTGCTACTCAGTATGTACTGCGTTTGAATTGGTTTAAGACAGTGGTGTCCAAACTCAATCCTGGAGGGCCGGTGTCCTGGAGAGTTTAGCTCCAACCCTAATCCAACACACCTGAAACAGGCAATCAAGCTCTTACTAGATATACTAGAAACGTCCTGACAGGTGTGTTGAAGCAAGTTCAAGCTAAACACAGCAGCACACTGGCACTCCAGGACCGGGTTTGGACACCCCCTGGTGTAAGACAACTAACTCTAGGAGATTTAAAAAATGAGTCTTTTTTTTTTTTAATAAAGTTGACATGTTCCTTTAGATATAAATGTTGTGTCTCTAAAGCTCACGATAACTCTGTTTTAAGGGCTCAGAATTAAAGATTAGCGGCTAATACAGTGGATCAAACACTAAGAAGAGTTTTAGCTGACGTTGCCGTACAGTGATACAGGATTGAAACCTCTGATCATTCACTCATTTCAAGTCAAATCAATTTACAAGCAGAAAATGTGCTCCCTCCCTTCTGCGGCTAATGCATCTTCTGATTGCGTTTAGCATTGAGTGCTTCGCTAATGACCGCCACACTGAAGGCCTTCCTGTCGGAGGGACCACTCATGCTGATTCCATGGATGAATTACCATCTCTTCCCTTTTACTCTATGCAGTTAAATAAAAAAAATTAAGGTCTGGAGGTTAATTTTCATTTGTCATCCTCTTCAAATGTGAGAAGTTGAGCCCAGAACTCTTGACCATGTCAGATATTAATTGTATCCTCTCATGTTCCTCTGGCTCCTGGGTTCACATCAAGGCCTCTCGTCTAAATCCAAATAGAGAGGAATAATTAATGTGGCTGGAGTGCTGAAGAGGATCTGCATTTAAGATTTTTTGACAGTAGATATTTATGGTGGATCTCATAATGATGCTCCTCCTTTGGGATCCTGAGAAGATTTGACCCAGTTAACAGGAAACTCTTGATCGAGCTCTTCTGAAGCAGGGTCGGAAATTAAAAGTGCTTTACAACTACAAGTGCCCCTGTGCAATTAAACTACATTTATTAGAGCTGTAGCTATTAAAGTGAAATGTGCAAATGAATGAAAAGTCTGTTTGCAGCGTGACATTTATACGCGCGGAGCATTACAACCAATCACTTGCGTTTATGATGCACTTTAGAACGCACTGACCAATCAGAGGGCGTTTAGATTACTCACCGATATTAACGGCCGTCAGTCTCTTTCAATGCTGTTTCCATAGTCTGGTTCATCAGCCTAACGAATTCTCACGTAATAAACAACAACGAAGATACTCTGTAAGTAAAATTTTGCAGCTTCAGTGATTATAGCAGGAGTTAAAACTTGTAAATCGTCGTGTTTGTTCAATATGTGTTTCCTCAAACACTTTAAAGCTTGGTTTGTAGGCTATCATTAACGATAACGATCGTTATTACAATATCAACAGCAACAATCAACATTTTCTGTTATAATATTTAAGTTCCAGTCTTTTAAATGTCAAATTATATAATTTTTAAAAGTTTATTGATAATTATTATAGTCATATAGTTATTTTAAAACAATTATATATCACCACTGCCTTGAAAATCAATACTAGGGTAAATATTCAAAGGTTAATTATTTTTAATTTTAAATTTCTAACCGGACTAGTTTTTTAAATGTCAAATTTATATCATTTTAAGAAGTTTATTTATAATTATTATAGTCCTATAGTTTTTTTTTTAACCAAAAATTGTCACCCTTCCCTAAAAAATTATACCAGGGTAAATATTCAATGGTTTTGTTATGGAGCTCTTCAGATAACATTTGTTTTGTTCGTTTAAGCTGGTGATCACATTAAATAACGAATTAAAATGTAATAGATCAGGATATCTGGGCACACATCATATCTAAACGGCTTTCCAAAATACAAAGAAGTACATTTTAAAATTATGTATGATATTTACCCTGCAAAGGAGTTTCTGAGAAAGAGATTTAATGTGAATTGTAATGTAATGCAATAGTGATATTGAAACTGTTGAACATCTAATTCTTCATTGTAATTTGGTTAATCCTTTTTGGTTAAATGTGGAAGTCTGGATAAAACAATACATTTCAAGGTTTCCTTCTATTTATTGGGACATTGTGAAATTTGGTGTGCATTTGGACAGCAAAGATGAGGACTTTTACTCATTTTACTTAAATTCTTCATCCACAAATGCAAAATTATGAAAACAGCTCCTCAATTGATTGTGTTTAAAAAGGAGTTTGCCACCTATGTAGAAGCTTTAAAAATAATGAAAGGTGAGAAGGCTAAAAGATTATATGATTTGTTTCTTGAATATGGTTTTATTTAACCCCTTACAGAGTTTCTGTTGGATGTCTGCATGGTATGTTGCTATTTATTTGTTTTTGTTTCGTTTTATTAAGATATTTTGAACATTGTTTTTTATTTATTTTTATTTTTTGTTTGGTTTTGTACTTGATTCATTGTATATCTGACATGTCTCAGTCAGTTTATGCAAGATTATGTTTGGACTGAGTTTGGCCTAAATTGTTGTTTTTGAAAGGCAAAAAAAAAAAAAAAAAAAAAAATATCTAAACAGCTTAAATCCTGCATGAAGCTGAATTTGTATTAGTGATTTTGCAATAGTGTCCCTAATTTTTGAGGCATGTGAAATGGCTTTTCATTCAAGTGGACAATCAATTGATTTTGAATTTAGATTTCATGATGACGTTAAAGGCATTTCAGTGAAACTTCCCTTACAAAAAAAGGAGATGTGTACAACTTAATGCTTAAAGGATTAGTTTACTTTCAGAATAAAATAAATTCCTGATTATTTAGTTAAGAAACATCCCGGTGTGCACGGGCCTTAAAGAACCAACTAGCATTACGAGTTCTGCATTGGACTCAAAAACTAGTTAGGATCATTTTGGATTTAGAAGTGGTCCATGCTGATCCTAGCAGTTTTGTCATCAGGAATGTAACTGGAATCCACAGGAATTTACTTAGCTGCTCTTATATACCTGGTATTTTGTATTTAACCACAGCCATTTATTTCCAGCAGTCTGCTTGTCATATTTGGAGTGTGTGTTCTAAAACACAGCACTAAAGTTGTTCGATTAGCACACAGTCCATAACACTCGCGGGTGAAATGTCTTA